TAAGGAGTAGGTTGAAAGAATTACATGTGATAAAACCACTCTACCATTCTCATTTCTTTCATTAAGTGAAACTTTTATACACAAAATACTAAGGAGTTTTGGGCATTCCATATTTTAATTAGCTAACCAAACAACAAAGCAAACTCTATTATCATGAGCTGAGGTTAGCGCAATAATTCTAAACTATATGAGAAGGGCAACCATATTAATAAATGCTGCATTATAAAATTGTATCCTGCAATCCTTGGTTTAGTACTTTTAAAACTTATTTATATATATATCTTCTAGATTTTTGCTGATACAAATCCAAAAATTCTCGCAATATTTTCATGCTTAATCATCTCTTCTAGAATTTGAGTTTGTAATTGTCTCCCTGGGGCATGTTGGGTTCTGATTCTAATTTCGATCAGGAGATAATTAGAAGTGGTGGAGGATGAGCATAATAAGAATAGTTTTCCCTTGTAAGATAACTCTCTCAGATGAAGTCGTTATTGGATTTTAAGAGCAGCAAAAAGAGCCTTCTTGCTCTTGGAAAGGCTGCCTCTGCTGACAATGAAGACACAGAGATGTTTGGGAGTTTGAGGATGCTTAGCCAACAGGATTCTACCACATTTCCTTGCTCCAATATTCAGAATCTTATTTGTTCTCAATCAGTTCACTAGCTTTCATACTGCAGTAATAATAAGACTGTGCATGCAACCAACTTTTAAATTTTATAGTTGGCAGGATCAAATTTTTCAGTTTAGTGCTCTGCCTTAGGTCTACGATTGTGGATACAAGATTACTTCATCAGTCACAAAATTCCCATGGTTTCTCTCTGTGCCTTGAACCAAAATTTAGCGCTTTGAGCTTCTTTGTTTCCTTCAAGCTGTCAGTACTGTTTGAAACAACCAGCTCACCTTCACAGTTTACACGTTCCTCGTGCTCTTTATATTGTTCTCAAAGCCTGGGGCTCAGAGGACATTTTATTCCAGGTTACCACAGGTCCTAATTTAATTAGGTATGTTGATACTGCAAACTATGGGATGATAAAATTTCATTTTTAATTTTAGCTGGATTTTTTTTTTTGAGACATTAGCTATATCAGGCCTGATAATAAAGTCAACATTTCTTGTATTGCCCTAAGGTTGTGTTGCCTACATCCACTTCTACCAATTTTTGAATCTTTTTGAATTTTGATGTGTCCAGTTTGTGGAGCCAAATCCACATGTAGGTCTTAGCCATAAAGGAGGCTAAGAATCTATTCTTTGGAATTCTTCCTTGGGATTCAGGAATTATAAGGCAGGACATTCAATCAACATTGGAAGGATATTTGAAATAGACTTCTCAGCAGAAATAATAACATATATATATAATACAGTGATTATTATCTTTCCTTTGGCCATTGTTTATTAGTTTTGTACTTATTTTCTCATTGCGCTTCTCATTTTTTTTTTGTTAATTGCTCAAAGTACTTGGTCCCTTAGAGGTATTAAATCCTTTATCATATGTGTTGCATGTATTTTTTCCAGATATCCACATTGTCCTTAAAATGTGTAAGTTTTTTGTTGTTATAGCTTTTACATTTATTATCTCCTTAGTGTATTAATTTTTTCTTTAAAGACTTTTAAAATGTCATATCTATGATTGTGGGATGAATTTTTATAACTACCTTTTGATTCATATTGATTTCGATTTCATTAGGATCCTAAGTACTTGTGTGTGTACATGTTTTCTCCAAAAGTCTCTCTGAAAGTACCAAAATCGTCTTTTTCCTACTGACATTTGGAATATTTGAAAATATAGTCAAAGCTTATACTTGTCAGCTTTTTCTTTGATGTTTTTATGCAAACAAATCAGAACAAAATCTTAGTACTTCTCTCGCTCCTGGGTCTGCCGGTCAGCTGGCCTAAGTAAGTTACATGACCAACACGAAAGTGAATGGAATGGGGGTATGGGTTTCATTAACTCAACAAGGAGGATCTTCTTTTCAGAGGTACGTGGCCAAGAGTATAGGTATGTAATCCTAGCAGAAGGAGCAAAGGAAGACTTACAAATGGTTGTTTAATTATTCCTTTGTAACGCCTTCCTTTAATTTATGGTTAGATGTTTTTCTATTCTGTTTTCAATCTAAGAACTGAAAAACATTAAACAACAATTTTACTTTTATACTTACTCTTTAAGTCATTTGGAATTTATGTTGACATCCTTAGGCTGTGAGGATCCAATTTTATTTCAAATAATCAACTAATTTCATCAGCAAATTTGGCTGGATATATGTATTTTTCTGTTTTAAATTAGTGCCAACTGTTTCCTTTTTAATTGGGGAAAGCATTGTGAGTATTGAAAAATGTCGAATAAACCAAGATCCCTAAGTCATCAAAACTACCACAAATGATATTTGATTGTCATTATTGCCTCCAAACCAAAAATGAAGATGTTCTTTCAAAAGGTATATTGAGTTAATGCGTTCTAGTGAAAACTATGGTGAAAATAAAGATAGATGACTAGACAAACCCTTAGGATAAAAACTCAGACAAATATATGCTGAATACTGTTGCTTAAGGAAAGTGACTTTTTGAACTCTTCTGAAACTAAGCATTCTTACCTCTCCCTTCTCCCACATACCTCAAGTGCCAATTTTTCCAGCTAATCTCTATGCAATTATTATAGAATAGAACTTACTAAGTGATATCAATCACACACTTTAGTGTAAGAGAGCTTTTCCATATTTTCCTGAGTTTCTGTTCAGTGTGTTGCAGGAGAGAGCCCAAGTGTATGCTTGAGAATATACAGAATGTTGTAGAGCATATATGGAATGTTTTAGGGAATTTGGTGTGAGATTGGAGTCTGGAGTTTGGGTTATTGGATCAGCTATGTTGGTATGAACCCTTGGGAAAATAATTTACCCCTATGATGACTCATTTTTTGCATTGGATTAGATTAACTTCGAGGTCATTTTGAACTTTAGGCTTTTATGAAAATAGCTTAGAAATGAGAGAACAGAAGAACATCCTATAAAAAACTTGGCTTACGTTGTAAGTTTGCATATGAATTAATTAGCAAACATATGCTTAATGGCTCCTTCTTTCCAGGACTTTAGCCAGGTCCTAATTTCAGTCTTCCTTTTTTTAAAACCTTGCACATTTTGTTTAGGGTTTGCTTTCAGTGCTTCATTAAGTTATTCATCTAAATATAAATATTCTGTGTGATGTTACAATTTTGTGGCTCTTAATTGGGGGTCATGTTGCTTCTACTCCTCCAGGGATGATTTGGCAGTGTCTGGAGACATTTTTGTCCTTCACAACTGAGCAGGGGGACATTGCTACTGGCATTGGGTGGATAGAGGCCAGAGATGCTGCCAGACATCCTAACTTGCACAGGATGCTCCCCACCCCCGCCCCACAACAATGAATTGTCCAGTCCAAAATATCAACAGTGCTTCCGCTGCAAAACCCTGATATAAATGCACTATGAATACAACTTGACGCATTCGCAAAGAGCTGGATTTGCCATTTCTTTTCAGTAATGACCAAGCAAAGATTTTTGACTAAAGGGATATATGTTTTAAAAGGATGAGATGTTAAATCCAATGGAATCATAATAATGAGGGATTTGTGTTTTTCTAAAATCGCTATCTTGCTTAGATGTTCTTAGATGAAAAATGTAAGATATATTCCTAAGATAGCTGCTAGAGGAAAAATAGTGTGGGCGCTCTGAGGACCAATACAATCTATGGTTATGCCGCAGACTGGACTTAGCTGATAGGCAAATTGATCAACACAAGACTTCGGCCTTAGCCCAGTCGTCTAATAGATAAATGAATTTGATACTCTTTTTTTATCCAGAATCAATGAAAGAATCTGAATGCCTCCCAAAATATTCTAGAGAATACATTTTATTTTGTTACACAGCTAAGTTCTCATAGAAGAGTACAATTGATTGTACAATACTTTTTTTCTAATATGGAAAGTTTTAGTTATGTCCAGATTTTCCAACATAATTTTAATCTAGTCATGGCCTCTACTTTGTATTGACTTCATTCACATTTATCAGTGCTATGATTTGTTTTTATATCTATTTATTTTATATTTTCTTCTTCTTTTTTTGTCTTTCACCTTTAAGAAATCCCCAATTGTAGAACCCATATTCAGTGTTCTTCCCTAAAAATGCAAAAATCTTGAAAACCATAATCCAGATTTATCGCTCAAAGAACAAATTCCTGATTCTCTTTAGCCTTGCAAAACAACACAAGGATAATTCTTCTTTTAATGACAAGTAGTGAACATTTGAATATTACTTGGTCTTTGCAGCAGAAAAATGAGATAACTAAAGTCTTCTTTTTTTTGCTGAGGAAGATTCTCACTGAGCTAACATCTATGCCAGTCTTCCCCTATTTTATATGTGGGTTGCTACCACAGCATTGCCTCCAATGAGTGGTGTAGGTCTGCACCTGGGAACTGAACCTAGGCCACTGAAGCAGAGCACACTGAACTTAGCCACTGGGCACACGACTGGGCCTAAAGTCTACTTTTTTACTAAACCTGGATACCTCTTAAAAATTACTATACATTGACCCCCTCCGTTCTTTTTAACTTGCTGAAAAGAACTAAATCCATACAATGTAGTGGAAAATATCTGGGTTTTTTTTGAAACAGCATAACAGGTAAAATAATTATAGGTAACATTGCATAAAATGAGGGTGGCTCTCATTGATATAATTTGGAGTAATTAGAACAGAAGGCATGCTAGTACCTTGGTAATGTGAAAGGATAAGTGAAAAATGCTATAGTCAACATCATAACTTCTAATTGCCAAGTGATTTGGGTAGTGAACATTTGCTATGGTTAGCTGATCACAGTGGGAACCACTTCTTCCTTCAGCGCATAATTTCCGAAAGATATGGCATGCTCAGCCTTGATCACTTTGTTGAATTACATATATGAATTAATTTATGACATCAACAGTATAAACAGAGTCAATCTAATTGGTAGGCTTAGAGGTGAGTGTCCGAACTGTACCTGGAAACCAAGTGAAAGTTAGAGATGTCTGTTTATATTATTTGCAGCATTATCTTCACCAAAAGAAGCTCCATCCATGATAGATACAGAAGGTTTCAGAGAGGCTCCCCAGTCTTAGAAAGGACTAAATTATTCGTTCATTCTTTGTTTCATTCGATTTGTTCTACAATGTGCTGAGCACTGCTCTGTGCTTGTGGCTGCAAAAAAGAACAATATGTATTAGTTTCCTGTATTCATGTAGCATGTATTTTAGGGATAGATGACAAATAGTTAAACAATAGATAAAAATAACAATTTCACTGTGTGATAAAATTTATGAAAGAAATGAATGAGATGAAGTGAAGCAGAAATTTCTGAGGACGTGATATTTGAGTTGAGACTTGAGAAATATGAAATGTGATCAAAGGGCTTTCCACGCAGGAGGAACAGCAAGTGTAAAGATCCTGAAGAGGAAATGGGCTTGATGTATTGGTGGAAATCAATGGAGGCCAGTGTAACAGAAGAAAGTTGATCAAGAGAAATAGATGAGTTTAGAAAAATAGGCAGGGACAGTATTATAATGCATTGTGAGTAACTTGGGCAACTTGAGAAGATGAAGGGGGAGGAAACGGGGAGTTGTTGTTCAATGGGTATAAAGTTACAATTATACAAGATGAATAAGTTATAAAGATTTACTGTAAAACATAGAGCCTATAGTTAAGGATACTGTGTTGTGCAAAAAACTTAAGAGGATAGGTCTCATACTCAGTGTTCTTCCTACACACACACACACACAAAAGCAAGCAGATGCAAGAAATCTTCTGGAGGTGATGAATATGTTTATTACCTTGTTTGTGGTGATGATATCTTGGGTATAGGCCTATGTCCAAACTTATCAAAATGTATACATTAAATATGTGCATTTTTTTATGTGTTAAGTATACCTCAATAGAGTTTATAAGGAAAGACAGAAAGGATAGTTAAGAGTGTATGTCAATGGGTTGGGGAGGTGGCCAAAGTCACCCCTGACATCAGAACATCTGATTCCTGCCAGGTGCCTGGCTCCTGCGGTTGAAAGGTGGTGTGATGGTTGAAGCCAAAGCATGCATGTCTTCATCAGCCACTGTTCTAGGCAATAGGAAAGCAGGGAGGAACTACATAAAAAATGAGCCCTAATCTCTTAGATTTTCCTCAGAACAAGCAGGTGGCAAAATGAATAATGAAAGGCAAGATAAACATGGTTCTTGTATTGTGCCCCAGTTTAAACAGGTGGCCTCGATTCATCCTCAAATACATTTTATTCTAGTTGGCAGAGAGAATTATTGAAGACATGCCTAGTCTAATAGTTGTGACTGGTTCTCTGTTTACCTTGTCTGGAAAACAAGTAAATTCTCGCTTCTTCAGATGGTGGCTCCAACAATGAGAAGGCTGTGAAAGCAATGAGAGAGAAAACATGGTGGGATTGACCCCTCACCCATTTCACTGGCTTCTGCCATGTCATGCTCATTGCTTTGCCAAATACTTAACTTTTCAACCCTCTATTATTTAGAATTTAAAGCTTTGATACGTAAATCCTCAACTACAGTGAGATCAGCAAGGTGAGCAAATATTTTCCTGATTCTTACTTTTCCTGTTGCAAATTAATATTGTCCAAATTCTATACTGTATGATCAGGAGGAAGTGTGGCTACCATTGAAAGAGTATGAGCTCTAGAACTAATTTCATGACAATAAGAGAGATTTTTCTATTTATTTGTGGTTTTAGAATGGAAATATATTGCATGTTGCATTATGCCAGGTCCTGTTATTCAAACATGCCTTGTTTTCATTGTCTTACTTCATAAATTTTCATTCTAGTGATGTGATCTACCCTTAGATCTCACAGAGTTTGTCCTATCGATAGCAAGTAATTATTTTTTTAACACTTTTGAATCCACCATGTTAGTATTATAGATATATGGTAATGCTGACCGTACAATAGAACCAGAAAACACCCTTATCAAAGTTATTATAAGACTATGTTCCTTAGCTGTCTATGTGACTTTACTCATACTCTTTGAGAATGCATATTTTTACCAGCAAAATAGTCTGTTAGTTTTGGTGTTTAGGTATCCCTCTGAGTAGATAATTCCTCAGATTCACAGTTGCGTTTATTTTCCTATTCTCAAACAAATGCTTCATTGAAAAAACTTCTGTTCATTGAATAGTTTAGTCAAGGAGTTTTCAGTGGAGGTGGGAGAGCAATGGAAACCCAGTTCAGGGCCCGGCCCCATGGCTGAGTGGTTAAGTTTGTGCACTCAGCTTCCACGGCCCAGGGTTTCGCTGGTTTGGACCCTGGGCATGGACGTGGCACTGCTCATCAGGACGTGCTGAGCTGGTATACAACATAGCACAACCATAGGCACTCACAATTAGAATATACAACTATGGACTCGGGGGCTTTGAGAGAAGAAGAAAAAGAAAAAAAAAAAAAGAATATTGGCAACAGATGTTAGCTCAGGTGCCAATCTTTAAAAAGAAAAAAAAGAAAGAAAGAAACTCAATTCAAAAAGGGCTTTCTGGGGCTGGCCCCATGGCTGAGTGGTTAAAATTCTGTGCATTCTGTTTTGGCAGCCCGGGTTCGCGGGTTCAGATCCCAGGCGCAGACCTACACTGCTTGTCAAACCATGCTGTGTCAGAGACCCACATACAAAATAGAGGAAGATTGGTGGCAGATGTTAGCTCAGGATGAATCTTCCTCAGCAAAGAAACAAACAAAAATAAAGAACTTTCTGCTAGAAGTCTTTTTACTCAAAAAATAGTGAAAATATTTCATCTGTACTATATATTATATCTTCATAAGAGACTGATTCTTTAATGACCAACAATTATGTGCCCTAGAATTAGTTTATTTAAAGCTTGAAACAATCTCCAGGATGTCCTCAATAGGAACACTGTCCCAAATCCTACTTACTGAGAATGTCTTCACCAGCTGCCTCCAATCCTTCCAAGAACATTCTTTCATTTTTATGGCAAATGAAAGCTGTCATTTCATTTTTTTCGGTGAAGAGGATGATTGCAAGCAAAACAATAGAGTGAAGAATACAATGAAAACAGTAAACAAAATTTTGAAAACTAGTATACAGGAAAAAGAACACAGAAAATAAAGATGATTTAATCTCTCTTTTTTGCTAAAACGGCTATAAAAATGAATGATACTGCTGTGAAAATGAGTCTTATCTAACCACTCAGTTATTTATACTTGCTTATAGATATATTAACAGCAGAGAAAGCAAATGCATTATTTTTCCTGTTTTTTTTTTTAATGGTATTTTTGCTAACTGCAGCTAGAGCCAAACAAAACATGAAATACTAACGGTTTAATGCTGATACCTAAGCCACTCTCCACACATTCTCTACTGCTGATTTGCACTTCAATTATCCGTCTTCATTTGTAAGAAACAGGTACCTCCAGTAAGGGTAGAATGAAAATTATTACATTGTACTCTTTACCATTTTTTTGTATGGAAGTGCTCTAGGATTATCTTAGGCGATGACAGTGATACCCACAACCAGTTACTTGCAGTTTGTCTCAAAAACAGTAGGTGTGAGTTACGTGTTTCAGAGGGGTGTGTCCTCATGCTTTGCAAATAGGGTACTGCACAATCCTGATAAAGACATCCGATCATCCTTTAAAAAAAGACCCAAAATATAATAGGAATATTCCATCAGTGGCTGTCACAACCACATACATGTTTTGATGGATTAAAAACTACTCTACATTCCCAAAGTTCAATTTGTGTCATTTCAGTTTTGATCAAATGGGACCATAGCAATAAATTGAACAAATGAAAAAATAACTTTTTAATCTACTGTAAGTAATATGTGTATAAGTTTGAGGGCTATATATTTTCTTAGTTAACTTCTGAATTTCTAAGGACCACCATGTTTTTTATTCCAATATTACAGACCCAAAAAAGAATATTAAAAATGTATACTATAACACATGTATAAATTATTGGCGTTCATCAGCTGTATGAGTACTATTTTGTGTCAATAAAAGAATAAACTTCTTTTAATTCATCTATAGTGTAAATTGAAGGTGTTTTCTACATTCAAAGATGGTAAAATGTGGAAAAATATGCATCTTTAAATGATAAGATCAGAAGACATAGAGTTTGCATCAAAACCTTTTTTTTTTAAAGATTGGCACCTGAGCTAACAACTGTTGCCAATCTTCTGTTTTTTTCCTGCTTTTTCTCCTCAAATCCCCCCAGTACAGAGTTGTGTATTCTAATTGTGAGTCCTTCTAGTTGTGGCATGTGGGACGCCGCCTCAACGTGGCCTGACAAGCGGTGCTTTGTCCGCACCCAGGATCTGAACCAGTGAAACCCTGGGCTGCCAAAGCGGAGCGCGCAAACTTAACCACTTGGCCACAGGGCCGGCCCCTCAAAAATTTTGTTAAAGCTTTCAAAAAATTTCCTTTTTGAAATACCTTACTATAATTGGAACCACATTAATTATGGCATTTATTGTAGTTCAAGGAACTATTCTTACTTCAAGTGGGCCACTAGGACACTTTGTGTCTTTCCTACATGTATTTGTATAATCATAAGCAACTGATACTTTTTTTTCTAGCATATATCACCCTTTTTAAAAATTAACTTGTTTGAATATTGTCATATTAGTTATATATTAATGTATAACAAATTATCACAAAACTTAGATGCTGGATTTTATTTTAAAAGATTGGCACCAGAGCTAATATCTGTTGCCAGTCTTTTTTTCTTTTTTCCCTCCGTCTCCCCAAAGCCCCCCAGTACATAGTTGTGTATTCTAGTTGCAGGTCCTTCTGGTTATGCTATTTAGGTACTTTAAAACAACATGCATTTGTTATCGTACGGTGGCTGTGGGTCATGAATCCAAGCATGACTTAAGATCTTTAAGATCTTTCACAGGTTGCAATCAAGGTGTCATGAGAGGGACTAAATAGATGATTGTTGGGAGGATTCAGTTCCTTACTGGTTGTTGGACTGAGGGCCTCAGTTCCCTGATGGCTTTTGGCCATAGGCCATGCTCACTTCCTTGCCACATGGTCCTCTCCAACATGGTAACTTGTTCATAAAGCCATGCCAGCAGAGAAGGCAATAGGGAGAGTCTACTAGTAAGATGTAAGTCGCAGCCTTTGGGATTAATATACCTTCACCTTTCCTGTATTCTGTTGGTTAGAAGCAAGTTACTAGGCCAGCTCACACTCAAGAGGACGGAATCATACATCAGTGTGAAGACCAGGAGGAAGGAACATTGGGGACCATTGAGATGTACACCTACCACAATTATTAATGCAAAATTTACTCTGAAAAATAGAAGACAGGAAGATTTAACAACTTTTCTAATGATCCTGTTTTATTCTCTCCCTTATAACTATGTTTTTACTGTTTTAAAACTTATGAACAGTCTATTGTTAGAAGATAATGTAATAAAGAGGAAAGAGAGAAAGACTGTTTTAAAATCTGAGTTTAGCCACTTACTGGCTGTATTACACTAGACATGTTACTTAATTCCTCAGCATTGTATGATTTATCAATTAAATAGGATTAATATTCAATATGACCTAGCTGAAGGCATCCTGGGAGGGAAAAATAATATATTACTTTCCAAGGATTTATTGAATGACTATAGATGCAAGGATCCATGCTAGATCCTCGGGATGAGAAACTAAGTAATAAATCGTCTTTTCGCAGAACAGTAAGTAATCTGGGATGAGAAATAATATTTAAACTCTGTAGAAATTTGTCTGGCCATAAGAGTCACTCAGCCAATGTTGGCCCTGCAGAGGCCTTTTGTTCTTTTTCTATTTTCTTTTACTAAATATTGATTGTTGATCCTTCAGTGACAGCAAAGGAGCGATTGTTATCCTCAGGAGATCAATTGAAGGAGCAACAGTCCATCTTTCTCCAGCCCCCTCACCTGTTAGTTTACATTTCTTTACCTCTTTATCATTTCCCATCTTTCTTCCCTGCCCTCTAAACTCACGTAAGTACAAGGCGCTTAAAATCTTCTTGAGGATTTGGACTGAGGAAAATAAAATACCGACGATGAGAATATTGCCAGGAAGTATTTATTGATGTTGGTATGTGGATTTCACCAGAAATAAATTAAATCAATATATAATCTCTGTATTCAGGGATCATAATTCCATTTGGTAGAGCTATTTAGCATTGCCATTCAGAGGAAACGAAATGTTTTATTCATAAGTGTTTTTTGAAATCGAGGCCAAGCATTCATATTTCTGATATGAAAAAAACACATTAATATTTAAATATCTATCTCTAAATTTAATCAAATGCAATTAGCATAATGGAAGTAAAAATACAGATGACCCTAGTCAATACAATTTTTAAATGGACTATAAAATTACTGTTTATTGAAATTAAGCTTAAAGAATTCAATTTATATTTAAGAAGCTATTTAATATGATGTTATTTTCTATAGCCCAACACGTGCATCTTAAAAATCTTTTTCCTTATTTTTCCCATTTATATCATTAGAAATCTAATTCACTGTATTTTAAGAATTAACTTAGCATTTGTGAAAGTACCTTGCTCAGTGGTTGGCACATAATAATTGGTGAGATATAAAAGTTGATTTTCCAGAACTGTCTCAAGATAAAATTAGGTCTTACAAACAAGGACCAACTAGCTAAAAATGTCCAGTGTAGGTGTTTTAATATGTAATAGTTCTGGCTCCAGCACTACCTTAGAATCTGCTGATAATTTATACTGGGATCCCCTCCCTGCTCCTCTGCCCTGCACCCCTGTCTTGCATTACAATGGTTACCAGGTGTTATCGCCTGAATTCTGGGACTGGTAGGGGAAGAGGTGAAAAGACATTGACAGGCCGTGAGCAGCATGATCAGTAATTCTGATGGGCACCTGACCATGGAGGCAAAGCCAGCTGACCAGGGGAATTCAGAGACCGTCAGCTGTGGTAAGGGTGACCCAGCGTGTACACGCAGAGAACAGAAACCCGAACATTTCAGGGAAGCTCACATAGCCTCCTGGTGGTGGTATGTGGTCTCTTGGATTCCTGTTGGTCTCTGTTGAGAAGTAGCTAGTCCCTAAAAACCTACACTATGATCATTTGAGGGTGATCGTTTTGGTAAATAACCCCAGAGTTGTGCTGGCCTCTGATGTAGTGTAGTTGGCTTAATATTTTCCACTAGTGTCCTGCTGCTAAAGTCTGTGGTCCTGCTGTCTTGCCTTTTTCTCTCTCCCTTCTAATGTTTGTTCTGGTTCATGAGTTGCTTCCTTAGAACACTCTTGATGGTATGGGGCTCTGTGAGGCTGCCCTCCGACTCACCCTCCTAGATGCATTCATCAGCCATTTCTATCTACCACCTGGTCTGTACTTCTGGCTTTCCCTCTCCATCCCTCAGCCAAGCCTCAGAGATGTTGACTAGAGGCTTAGAAGAGGAAGAAAGTGCCAGGAGCCAGGAGACTGACCCTTAGGTCACTTGCCATTCGATTTCTTTTCCTGAGAGCTCTTCTTCAGAATTCATAGTTGTTCCTGGCTTTCCAGTGGGGTGGGAATTCTACATTCTATCCTTAATTCTCTCCATACTGAGATTCTTAGGAAAGCTATATAGATTCGAAATTTACTGACTTTCAAGGCATTAATCCTACAAATAATATTGAAGAAAATACAATTTGAAGTACAGTGCTAAATAATCCACAACTTTATTCTGTCCATTCCCTTGGAGCCTAACACCCAAAGCCTCCAGCCCAAAAAATAGTGTTAAATCAGTTGAGGTATAGCAAGGAGCAATGTGTGTCATGGGAAATTTTTTAAATGCAGAAATTTTAATAACTTTAAAATGCTTCTCACTCAGTTTATATTGTTCATATCTCTATTTCTCCCTGTTGAATTTTAATCTTTTTAAAAGGAGTGTTGTTATACCTTTAAATCCTGATTGTGTATCACAGTATCTGGTTTATACTGAGTCTTAAATAGTTGTTCATTGAATCAACTAATTAAGTGATGGAATGATAAAAATTTTGATGGTTTCTTTTCACTGAAATATTGTGACAATGCAGTTTGCACTATGATGTTATATTTTGAAATCTTTTGCTAAAATATTCAGAACATAATAAATCAAGCCATTAAAGAGCAACACATATTGTGTTGACAGAGTAAGCAAAGTCAAGAGAGATGGCTCCCTTTGCTAACACAACCCATTACTGCTCCATATCTTTTCTCATTACCACTGGTTTAAAATGAGATAATTCTGTTTGCAATCTATTTTGTTTTGTAAGACTGTGTCTACGTTGTTATTAAAAAATACAAAATATTGTCTCACCTACAATATTTAGTGTCCTTTCTCCTCATACTAACATTTCTTCTCAAGGATCTTTCAATAGCACACTGAACATTCAAAATATTGTCAGGAAACTAAAATGTCTGGGTTGATGTTATCAAATAAAAAAAAATAGAGGACTTGCTTTAAAAGATAAAATTACCTTTACAACAATACTGAGTTAATAATTTTTATCACCAGATTATCTTTAATATTTAGGTCAGACTAAGAGATAAGATATTTAAAGTATTAATAAAACACTTTCATGAAAATCATCACAGAATATTTGCTTTTGCTTCAATATGAACAAAACTTTCACTTGGATGACCTCAGATGAAAAATCTTTCGTAGCTCTGTGAATGATACATAATTCAACTTCTTTTGAGAAATCATTAACTTGACTTTTTCAGATATAATTTTAAAAGGTATGACTAAGGACATCCCTAAACAGTGAAGAATAAAATACAATATATGAATTCTAACTCATAGTTCTTGAGTTTCTCTGGGATTTACAAAGGATTGTTAGAAAGCTTAGCATATAAGTCATAAAAATATTATTCCTTATTTATAATTTATGTTAGGAATTTGTGTGTGAATAAAGTGGGAACCATAGAAGCCTGGTGGTATTTTTCATAGCGTTCGTTCTTATAAATAATGCAGCTCTGTTGAGTTTGTTTCCTTAGTTGGCTGGCCTTAAAGTCTGCCCTTCCCTATTTTGGTTCTGTTCCATCAGATACTTGTAAGTCTCAATGCCTTTGAGAATAACTCTCCCACCTTTGTGTCTGTCTCCAAGGGAAAATGTAATCTTACTTTAGTCATCTCATCAGCAGTAGGAGTTTCTGTGCTGCAGGCTTCGACATCAACACAAGTTGTGATGAGCCAGCCTGCTGACATCGATGAACACTTTATTAAATTACACACTCCCCTAAGCAGGCACAGGCTTTCAGAGCCCTAATATTTTATGCACTATTGCACTGACTCCCTGTTTGCTGAAACTGTGAGTGTCCAGGCCAAGCTGAGGGTATAAAGTCTTGATGAGATTATGGAGAATTTTTTAACAAGATTTGGCATACTCTTAGGTGTTAGGTTTAGTCTATTGTTTTGACAACTGATAACTAAAATGAAAGAATAATAGGAAACAAGATGGGGCATACAATCTAGGGCATCTTTTTCTTTGGAACGGCAGTGGCTCAGAGTAGAATAAAGAATCATTGATCTGAATAAAATTTCAAAATGATAAATCTTTTCTTGATACTGCATATTTATGTATGTAATTAGTATGTAGTAGGTTTTGTTTCCTGGATAATATATAAAATTGTGTGTTCTTAAGTGGTTTTAATTATTAAAATATTTAGCATTCGATAAAAGGAAAGTGTAATGAAGGTAAATATTGTTTTTAAAAAATGACATTTGTCCTTTTGTAGAATAGCCGTCCTACCAGGTGTGAGGTGAGATCTTATTGTGGGTTTGATTTGCGTTTCCCTGATGATTAGTGAGTTTGAGCATCTTTTCATGTACCTGTTGGCCATTTGTATGAAGGTATAATTTACAGAGAGTAGAATTCATCCTTTCTAGTGTAAAACTCTATGCATTTTGACAAGTGTATACAGCCTTATAATCACTATCACTGACAAGATAGAGAGCGTTTCCAGCTCACTGAAAAGTTTCCTGATGCCACTTTGTGGTGATTCAGGCCTGGCAACCACTAATCTGTTGTGGTTTCTATCTGTATACTTTTAGTCTTTCAATAATGTCATATAAATGGAATCACATGCTGTATATGATTTTTGAGCCTGGTTTCTTCTGCTTACATAATGCCGTTGAGATTTATCCATGTTGTTACATGTATCAACAGTTCATAAGTTTTTATTGGTAAGGAGCATGCCATTGTATAGATGCACCAAAGCTGGTTTGTCCACTCACTCATTTGAAGCCATTTGAATTGTTTACAGTTTTTGACAATAATGACTAAAGCAGGTATAACCATTTACATACAGGCTTTTGTGAACAAGGGTTTTTATTTCTCCTGGATATATACCTAGGGTGGGAATGCTATATCAAATAATAAGTGCATGTGGAACAATTTGAGAAACTGCAATTTGTAATACAATTTATTTTTATATTATTTATATTAATTATATATGTATATAATTTTATATAATGAATATTATATTTATATTATATTTTATCTGTATTAAATGTATGTATACTTGCCTTTCATCTCCTTGATTTGGGATTAATTTATTCTTTTTGTAAAAGTCTCTTAAAAGGAAAGCTTAGGTAATTGATTTGACAAGTTTCTCTTTGCTGAAATTGCTATTTAATGCTGTAAATTTCCCTCTGAGCACTTCTTTAGCCACATCACACAAATTTTGAAATATATTGGGTTTTTTCAATTTTTATTCCATTCAAAACATGTTCTAATTTCTTTCGTGACTTCTTCTTTGACCCATGTGCTATTTAAAATTTCTTGTTCAATTTTCAAATATGTATAGATTTTCAGATCTTGCTCTCTCTCTTAGTTACTAATTTAATCTGTTATAGTCAAAGAAATGTTGTATGATTTCAGTCTTCTTCAATATACCATGACTTGTTTTATAACCCAGAATATGGTCTTGTTACTGCATCTGATAAGTATACTTGAAAAGAATGTATATTCTGATATTTTGGGGAGGAATGATGAAGGTGCCTACTGTAATTGTATAATGGTTGATTTTTTAATTTCTTCTTTCAGTTCTATCAATTTTTGCTTAATGTATTTTGAAGCTTTGCATACACATTTATGATTGTTGCATTTTCTACATGAACTGGCCCTTTCCTCATTATATAACAGCTTTCTCTCTGCTGGTATTTCTTGTTCTGATGTCTTCTTTATCTGACATTAATTTAGCCGGCCCAGATATTTTATAAATTAATGTTTGCATGACAAATATGTTCCATTCTTTTACTTTCAACTTATCTCTGACTTTCTACTCAAAAAATTTTCTTTTATATAGTATATAGTCAGGTAATACTTCATTACCCACCGTGGTAGCCTGCAAGCTAGGATACTAAGCTTCCTAGTATTTGGAAGAACTTCACTCATCCTAGTAATTAATTCTAAAAATAAAATGCAATTTACTGTAAGCTTATTACAGTTTATTACATTTTTGTTATCCATTTTTTTTCCTGGTGATAAATCCACCTAATCAAAGTAAAAATTAAAATTAAATTGTCGTGCTTTATATCCATAGACCTTATTTGCACTGACTTTGGCAAGTGTTAATACCATGAAAAATGTAGTAAAACTATTTTTGTCCCCAAAGTTAACTAAGTTAATTTCTTTCAATTGCACAATTTCTTTTCAATTGTGACTTTGTAATTGTGCTTTATAATGACAAACTTAGAATGTATATTTGTGCTACACAACAGATGTATACAATATTAGGGGAGAAGAAACTGGAAAGGACCGCTACAAGCTTTAAGATCTTAAATTGTATTTCGTCTATTGTGTCTTCTCATGTAGTTTTATCATCATTTTCCCACTGCCGTGTATTCTTGTTCTTCAGAGCCTTCAGGTAAAGTCAGTGTTAGAGATACGAGCCCACTGTTTACTGTATCTATACAGCCTGCTTCATTTGTATTAGAATCCAAAGACAAAAAGTGAATCGAATGGTTTTTACAAATAGAGCTGAGGAGGGAAGAAACTGATAACTCTAGTCACGCAAAGCCCTGTACTTCCTTATTGCACTGTGTTCTCTGTTCCTCTGGATCCTTTATTTCTTCCCTGGTTGTATTGAAAAAATTGAAATCAGCTGGGTATTAGAAGTTTCGCTATCAGATGACACTTCCACAGTCCAAGATAAGTTATGGAAGTGGTCAATGGTTATGTTTAAATGGGTGAATATACATGTTTACAAAAGAAATCAGGAGATATCTTGAATGAATACAGGAGGCTTCCATTCTAGAAAGTTAGGACTTGACACATATTCCTTTTTTGTGACTGCTTATTCTCATTCCATAGCTGAGAGAAAGTGAGAAAACTCTAAATAAACTTTTAATTCCTTTTCTATATCCCCCCTCTCATCTCCCAGCCTCCACTTATCTAGGATTTCATCTTCCTAGGTGGTGGTAGGAGGCAGGAAAATAAGTTAAATTGCCCTCAAATGTAAATGCATGCTATATAATGCTTCCTTTGATTGACTCAGTCCATTAAAGGCCATTGAGGACACACACACGCACAAATTCACGTACGCACAAACTCATACATACACACACATAGCGATAAATAGGAGGATGCTTTTCCTCAAGATGCTGAATGCCTGTTTGGAGGAATAGTCAAAAGTCAGGTACCACCACGTAATAAGTATACCCAGGCAGAAATTCAGACGGTATCCTGTACACATGGAGGGGAAGTATACACAGAAGGTATACCAACTCTCTGAGGAGCTAGTACTCTGCTTGAAATTGTAATTTGCAATTAAATGAGTGAATGGCATTTTATAGATTGTGTCCGAATGGTCCAGAATTTAGATGTCCTGCTTTGTTTCTGGCACTAAGCTTAATGCACTAACTTCTTATTGAAATGATGAATCTTTCTGGTTCCCACAGTGATTGTGATTAAATATGGGTCAAGTATATAATTATTTCAGGGGGCCAATGCATAATCTCTTTTAATGTCTGAAAGCTTACAATTTCACTGGCTTCAGCAAGCATAGATTTTTGTTCTAGTGATTTTTTTTGGTACTATATTGGATTTGGGCACCAAATGATACAGTGAAGCAGACTTGTAAACTCTAATTCTTCTAACTGTTAAAGTAATCACAGGCTGTGATTTCCCCATTGGTGTTTGCACTTCCAAAAGAAAAGTCAGATACACACATATGAAAAGCAAAATTTCTTCAAGTGAGTGGCCATAAAACTTATCACATGAAAGAGTGCAAGCTGTAGGTTGCAAGATTTCCTATGAAATCCAAGAGGCATAGCTGGCAATTAATTAATTGTGGTAGGACCGGGATGGGGGTGTGAAGTTAGTGAGGGGAGGGGGCAGAAACCACTAAGCACAGCCATACTTTTTAAGGAAATTTTTAAAATCTGTTTTTTATTAACTAATTTACAACTTTAACCAATTCCAGTTTTCCTTCCAAAGACCCAATTCTTAAAAAAGAACAATTCGCTACTGAATCTTTGTTCTCAAGGGGACTTGAATAGCAAATTTGTACTTAAAATTCAACGTGTCTGTGATATGTTTCAAATCAAAAGCAATCTGTGGAATTTACATGTGCAACCACATTTTCATGAACGTTTTTAGTAAATATTCTTTACCCAGAACCTTACTATATGTCTCCAAGTACTTCCATAGCCTGTGGTTCCTAACCTCCCATGGTATCAGAAATCTCCCACTCTCTGCGGGTCCATCTTATTGTGCTCAGCAAAGTGGAAGCTAGTCAGGATGTCTTCTAGATAAGAGCATTAAAATGTAAGTTTTAATCATAATAACATCTATTCATTATTAAATTATGCAGGACATTTCAGAACAGTGCAGGGGGAATCTGGTGACCTGAGTTATGTTTCTGGTTCTGACACTAACTCTCTGAGACTGAGCACATCACATAACATTACTCTTGAAACTGTTCCCATATCTGTCAGATTAAGTTACAGGAGGAAAAATTTATTGCTGAAACTCAGTTCAAAAGTACTTGATCATCTGTTGCTGCTAAGGTCAGGGCTGGTTTCTCCATTAGGCAGAGTAAGCACAGGGCCTAGGGCCCTCAATCATTTCAGGGAGGGACCCATGAAAATGTTTTAATTTCTTTTAAAATCAGAGGAAAAGTTGAACTTTTAGATCAAAGACAATGCTTTACTATATAATATTAATATATGTGTCTTTATCTGTATGCAGTTGTAAAATATATTTTCTTTTATTATTTTCTCGAGGAAAAAGCCCCTGAAGGTAAACTGCATAGGGCCCATGAAAGCCCTAACATAGCTCTGGCTAAGGTAGAGGAAATTGTGGCTGAAGGATTAGATGATTTGGATTCCATGTTGTAAGAGGCCTGGACCTAAAGTTAAGTTTGAGCTTAGTCATCTTAGAATTGTGTCATATAATCAGAGCGAAATTATTTCATTATCAATGCATATGCTCTTCTCCCCACCCCGAGCTTTTCACATTCTTTGCCTTATTTATGGCCCATTACATATTCATGACCCATTATTCCAGTTCATGGAACACAATTCCATCCTGTTGTGTTGTCAGAACTCAGTTTAACTCCCACACTTATTTGCACACAACATGCACACACGTACACACAATGACACTCTGTCTCCTCTTTCCTGGGTGTCATCTAGGACATGATTTCCTCCAAAAGGACTTCTCAGACCACCCATGTTGGAGTAGGTGCTCTTTTCACCCATTCACACTGTTCATTCTTAGATGGGAATGATTCTTAGAATCATTTCAGTGTTGTTTACATTTGACAGCTTTCTTGTAGCAAAACGTGTGGCACATAGACAGCGCACCATGAACATGGCTGAGAGGCTCAGTGACCCCATCTATAGAATGAAAATTCTAAACACACTCCATTGAGATGTGTGAAAAAAGACACAGCTACAACGATTTCTACCACTAGTTCATTGGGGTGCTCATTATAACACAGCTTAATACTCCACATATTTCCAAAACTAATAGTATGTTTTAGAGTCTAGAGTCTATACTTAGGCACTGATACCTTTAAGAATTAAAAAAAGTAAGAAAATAAAGAAATAAACCTTCTTGTGTTGTCTTTTTAGTTCAGTTGAAAACTGTGAAAAAAATACTATTTAGCATTGAGCCAAGCATTATGAAAAATAGAAAATAAATTACGCTCCAGTCTCTCTGTCCTCAAGAAAATGAAATTTACCTCACGCAATGCTATTCCAATTTTATATTTCAGCTACAGATACATAATTTAGGAGTTAATCCTTTTTTGTGTAATGGCTCTCTACATAGAGATAAGATAGGCTATCTACAAATGGGCTTTTTAGTATTGTGCAAATATTAAAGCATAATTAGAGTTAA